GGATGTGAGCTTAGTGGTGAGGAAGGTGCTACCTGGGAGTCCAAGAGGATATTTGAAAAGCCAGAGAAGGGAACTTTTAAGGGTCAGCAGAGGGCAGCACTTGGCACCTCAAGCTTTGGCCAAAAGACTCCCAACCCAGATGTGGTCTTGTGATCTGTGTGTTCCTGCTGTTTATAATCAGCAAATCCTTTTTTGTAGAGTTGGTTTGTTATTGTTCAGTGGACCAGCATCTCATGTTTTTCAAATAGGTGGAAAATAATGAAAAAGGCTTTAATACCCGAGGCGACTTTTTCACCACCACTTCCCCTGAGGAGCAGATGTTTGAAACTCACAGAGGACGGTCAGATAGGAAACAAGTGAGGGTCCACTCACGACCAAGCTCCAAGAAGTCCATCCCCTCCAAGAACTGGGCGGGCCCACTCAGGCCCCCAGCCTGCATGATGGTTCCCCTCGAGTGAGTCAGGAGAGGAACTTTCCATCAAGACAGGGCCTGACTCAACCTCTCCCAAGCAAACCAGACACCAGCCACGAAACTGCCAGCACAAGAGTTTCCATAATGAGAAGATTCCAGGAAAGCCCCATAAAACCTTTACTGTAAATTCAATAAACTGGATTTCAAACATGGTGGCTGGGCTGGGGTAGCCTGGAGCAACACCACCTCCCTCCACCCCTCTCCACCAACTCCACACACACAGAAGTAGGCCATTCCAGGCCAGACAGAAAGGCAGCCCCACCCTATCCCCAGTGCCAGGGCCTCCCTGTTCCCCAAGTCAGTCAATGCTCTCCCCATACCACCATACTACTAGGCCAGTGCTAGCCAGCATGAAGAGGAGCCATATGACATGACCTCCAGATGATGCTCAGCTAGCTACAGGGGTGAAAGTCTAAAACTTGGACCCGCCTTGAGCACCTCTGGGCACTTCAAGGACTCAGTTCCCCAACACTTGTCAGAACCACCTCCTGCCTTCTCTATACCCCAAACCATCAGTCCAGTCAAGGAATACACAGCTATGTGAGACCATAAAAAGGAACTACACTGCCCTGAATCATTCAATCCAGATCCAGAAGACTTTTGGCCCCCAGATGACAGAGTCACAACACTTTTCCTTGTCGTAGTCAAAAACACCTCACCCCCATCACCCACCATTCTTCAGCCATCATTCCTGCTGGGCTAATCCGTGGAACATAAGGAACTAGTTTCCATCCCTCAAATCATTTGCCATCAACTTGATTCTGACTCATGGTGACCCCATGTGTGTCACAATAGAACTGCACTCCATAGGGTTTTCAATGGCTGTAATCTTTCAGAAGAAGATCACCAGGCCACTCTTCCAAGGCAACTCTGGGTAGATTTGAACCACCAACATTTCAGTTAGTAGCCAAGCACTTAACTATTTGTGCCACCCAGGGGCTCCTGCTCCCCTTGATACTGTATACCAAATGTCACACATACAACACTGAAACTCTGATTTCTTATACACATGACACTCACCCATACCTTTCACTCTGTCACCCAAAACCCAGTCTCATTCCACCCTCCCAGGGCTGGGCTATGCAGGGAGTCAAATACGCTTGCGAGCATTTGGTGTAGGCAACCCAGCCTTGGTTCTGTGTGCAGCCTCAACCCTTTTTCCCAGCCTGGGTATTGTGTGGCAATGGAGGCAGAAGCAGGCTGAGGCTTTCAGACTTTGCACTTGGCCTACTTCACCAGGACAAAGTGGACATCAAGAAAGGTGACTGCAGAGTATGTGCTGGGGATTGACAGGAAATGCGGTCGAACTGACCGGGGAGAAATTGATGGCAGGGACTAGGAAGCTTGGATTAGATCAGAAATTACAGACCCTCAGAATTTTGGAATAGGAAGGGGCTCAGACCTCAGAGTGTTTTCCAACTCAACACTTGCATTATAGGTTAGGAAGCTGAGACATAGAGGGTTGACAGGATTTCCCCAAGGTCATTCACTCATTCTTTCACACAATCAGTAAGCCAATTATTGGCAGGCAGTTGTCATAGAAAATCAGATCTCCTGACTCCAGACCAACGCTCACTCCCCAGTACTCCCTGCTGGTAAGATAACAGCAGCAGGGACCATGGAGCATCTAAGGTGCAAGGTTGTGGGACATACCGTGGTCTATCAGTAAGGAAAGTGGATTCACAGAAGACTGAGGTGGCCCTAGGCAGATGACTTTCTTCCAGAACACGAGTCTCCTCTTTTGTAAAACAGATCTAGTAATACCTACCTTCTAAACCTAACTTCCTCATTTGCAGCAAGGATCAAATGAGATCATGTGTAAAACTGATCAGTACAAAAAGGTAGGAAGAGAAAGACAGAGTAGGTTAGAAATAGGGGGGCTTGGGAGGCCCCAGTATCCATGAGGAAATAGATGCACATCCCACGTTTCCAGGTCCCTGGTGTGGCCATGTGGTCAAGAGCTCAGCTGCTAACCAAAACATCAGCAGTTCAAATCTACCAGCTGTTCCTTGGAAACCCTATGGGGCATTTCTACTCTGTCCTATAGGGTCGCTATGAGTAGGAATCGACTCAACAGCAACGGGATGCTAAGCTAAATGTTGGTGGTTCAAACCCACCCAGCAGTGCCAGGGAAGACAGGCCTAGTGACCTGCTTCTATAAGGATTACAGCCAAGGAAACCCTATAGAGCACAGTTCTACTCTATAACACACAGGGTCACCATGAGTTAGAAACAACTGGACAAGAGCAGGTTTGGTTTTTGGTTTGGTCCTAGGTCTCCACTGAGTATTTAGGGATCAGACCACATATCCTGACTGCTCCCACCCCCTCTCTCCCAGCTGAAGCACAGGCATCTGAAGCAGCCTCTCAGGAGGCTGTGATTCCCAGCATGATCCACATCCCTGACCCTTCCCAGAGCAGGCAGAAAGTGAAAGGCACAGTGTGCACTTCCCCTCCGGGTGATAGGGTTTCACATTCCTTCCCTGTCCCTTAGCAAGAAGACGGCGGAATCTTCGGCTCACCGTCTAGAAGACTTCCCGCCCTACTCTGTGCAGACACTTTGGTTGTGGATATTTTCCACTTCTTTTTTTTTTAAAGTCTTTTTTTGAGAAACGATTTTCCTGCAGCCCTGGACCAAGGACAAACCAGTTAGTGCTTGCAGTTGGTGAGTCCAAAGGGCTGCTGGGCATCTGCCTGAAGGCTCCAGGGTGCCCATGCTGCCAGCACTTGCCATGAATGGGAGGGAGAGGGCAGTAGCAGAGCCGGTGTGCCGGGAACGCTGCCTGGTGGCCTGGCATCTGGGGATTTTCCCAGTCAGCTTTCGGGACGTTATTCCAACCTGATCCAGCCGTGACAGAGGCCCAGATGGGTGTGTGAAGATTCAGGCCTTTAGCCATTGTTGTAAAACACTAGGCAATCCTGCTTCCCCCAAAACAGCTTTCTCTCCTTGATGGATCCTCCTGGTAGTTCTCCAGCCTGGATTTCCTGGTATTCAGCTATCTACCCTCCAATCAGGAGCCCTGGTGGCCCAAACAGTTAAGAGCTTGGCTGCTAACCAAAAGGTTGGTGTCTCAAACCCACCCAGTGACTCTGAGGGAGAAAGAACTGGCAATATGCTCCCATAAAGATTACAGCCAAGAAAACCCTATGTGGCAGTTCTACTCTGTCATATGCAGTTGCTGTGAGTCGGAATTGACTCGGCTGTACCTAACAACAACACCCTCCAATCATCCAACAATAACACCACTATTCAATAACCTCCCATTACTCATACATCTTAAACACCCTGAGTTTTAGGGCTGATTGGCCTCATCTGTAATCTGTAGTCATACATCAGCCCAGCTCAATCCTAGGGTCAGATGGAAAGTAGATGGCCTTCTGCCTCCAATAAAACAGAACGATGTTAGAGTGTTTGAAGGGACATTGGCTGTGTGAAGAAGCAATTAAATATGTGGAATTTGGTGTCTCGTATACTTAAGTTCAATTGCTCTGCCACTTTCTAGCTATTGTTACTTCTCAGTTTCATCAGTAAAAGAGGTTAACACTACTCACCTCAGAGTCCTGTATCCGTAAAAACCTGTTGCTGTCGAGTCAATTCTGACTCATAGTGACTCCACAGGACAGAGTAGAACTGCCCCATAGGGTTTCTAAGGAGCAGCTGGTGGATTCGAACTGCTGACTTTTGGTTAGCTGCCAAGCTCTTAACCACTGCACTACCAGAGTTACCAGAGTCCTGTAGGTGAAATTTAATTAAAACAATGCATGTAAAAAGTACTTATCGCACACCATTGGTGGTCTATTGAAATTATGAACAGGTCGGGTAGGATGAGGCAGACAACCTATCCATCCTCTCACCCCAGATTATGACCCAGTGAGGGCAGAAGGGAAGAAGAGAATGAGACAGGCCAACAGAGCGGCACATAAATACAATCTCTCCAAATTAAATTTGCACAGGAGAGCTGCTTTTTGTGCCTAAGGCCTGTAGGGGAAGGACAGGTGTTGGTTCTAGTCTGTTCCTTGGAGAACTTGGAGAAATGGGAATCTTCAGAGAGCCCACATGTGGCTCCAAAGTGACAACCTAAACCCCTGTCCCAGACACGACCCGTCTTCCTGCTGGGCTAATCCACTGAAACACAAGGAGCTAGCTTCTGTCCCTACTCCGTTCGTTCTTCTCCTCGCTGCCAGCATCATGTCCTCCTGCAAAACCTTGGAATGAAGCTATCATGTGGTATTCTGTTTTCCTGAAGTGCTGATTGACAAGACAATATGTACAGTATGATTCCAATTATGATATGATACAAACACCTGTCAGTTGGAAAACTATATACCAAAAGTTAACAGTGATTATTTGTTGTATGCAGGTTGGGAATAAAGGTGATTTTTTTTATTTTCTACCTGGAGCTTTTCCGTGTTTCCCAAATGAGCAGATATAAGTTTTATAATCATAAAATATAATTTAAAAAAATGTTCATCACCAGCTTTTAAGAATGCAAATTAAATCATGCATGCTCCTGCTTAAATCTTTTTTATAGTTTTTCATGGCACATGGAATAAAATTCAAACTCCTTGGCATAGCCTGCAAGAACCCTCTGTGCTGCACATTCCAGCCTGATTTCCTGCCATTCTTTTTTTTTTGGTGGTAAAAATATACATAAAATATTTGCCAATTCAATAATTTTCACATGTACAATTCAGTGACATTGATTATATTCTTCATGCTGTGCAAGCATTATTGCTATCATTTTCCAGAGCATTCCACCAACTCCTGCAGCTCTTGTCCTCACCACCAACGCCAGCCTCGATGGCCTCCTCCTGGGTGTAAATCGCAGCTTCACCACGTATTAGCTGTGTGACCTTGGGCAGGTTACTTAACCTCACTGTGCCTCAGTTTCCAATTCTGAAAGAAAAACAGAAATAATAACTGTACCTCCCTCAAAGTGTTGTTGTGAGGATTCATGACAAAAGCACCACGTGTTTTTATTATCATTTTCTTCCTCACAGTTTTGGACAATCTGTTCTCTCTGCCTAGAATACACTTCCTCCAACTTTTCACCTAGCTGACTTCTTCCCCATCTTTAGGCCTTAAGTGTCCCCTTCTCAGAGAGGCCTTCCTGACCACCAATTCTAAACTCCGCCACCTTGTTATTCTCTCATAGGATCCTACTTTTTTCTTTCAGAGCATTTATCAGAACTTATAATTACATAACTATATGTTGGCTTATTTTTTGTTTGATGTCTGCCTCTTCACTAGGCTATAAACTTCATGAGGATTGTGAGCATGACAGTTTTGCCCATTTGTGAATAATAAGAACTTAGAACAGTGCCTAACACACAGTCCAGTAAAAAACAAAAAACTGTCTTCATGGAGTAGATTCTGACTCATGGTGACCGCATGTGTGTCAAAGTAGAACTATGCTCCATAAAGTTTTCAACGGCTGATTTTTTGGAAGGAGGTGACCAGGACTTTCTTCTGAGGCACCTCTGGGTAGACTCGAACATTCAGTCTTTTGGTTAGTAGCTGAGCACTTTGTACCACCCACGGACTCCCCTAGCACACAGTGGTTGTAACTATTGTTGTTAGGTGCCACTGAGTTGATTTTCAACTTACAGTAACCCCATGTGACAGAATAGACCTGCTCAATTGGGTTTCCTAGGCTGTAAACTTTACGCAAGCAGACTACCAGGTCTTTCTCCCGCAGAGCTGCTGGGTGGATTAAAACTGCCAACCTTTTTGTTAGTAGCCGAGCACTTAACCATTGTGCCACGAGGGCTCATTTAGCACACAGTAGGCACTCAATGGAGCTATGGTGGTGTAGTGGTTAAGA